GGTGTAGTAGGGTACGGTTCGGTACGTCGTAGTAGTCGACCAACCGACGACGCGACTACAGACGCGTGAGAGAGAGAGAGAGAGAGAGAGTTAGGTTACGGTACGTACCGTCCTCTCTCTCTCTCTCTCTCTCTCTCTCTCTCTCTCTCTCTCTCTAACTCATACTCCTCTCTCTCTAACTCACACTTCTCTCTCTACAATTATCTCTCTCTAATCACCATCAAGCTCTTTTTTAAATTGCTATCAGATTTATCATCTCTCTCTCTAACTCACACTTCTCTCTCTACAATTAGCTCTCTCTCTCTCTAATCAGCATCAATTTCTTTTTTAACTTGTTAACAGATTAATCTAGATTTATCATCTCTCTCTCATATTACAATTAATTTCTTTTTTGGCTTGCTAGAAGGTTAATCTAGAATCATCATCCCACCCTCTCTCTCTCTCTCTCATTACAATTAGTTTCTTTTTTTGACTTGCTAAAAGATTAATCTAGAATTATCATCTTTATTATTATTATTATTATTATTATTATTATTATTATTATTATTATTATTATTATTATTATTAATGTATTATTGTTATTATTATTTATTTATTAAATTTTTTATCAAAATACCTAGAGATGAACTATTTAACAGTTAATTGTTTTACTATTATTGTTATTACTATTATTATTAGTATTTAAAGTTTGTGTACAAAGGTATAGATGGAACAAAGTAATGAATTCACCAAAAAATTCAACTTGACTTTGCATTTAATTGGTTGTCATCACCTAAATATTTTTCCACACATATAGTTGGACGAGTTATTCAGGTAGTCCAGTCCATCTTTATTTATTTTACCGTATTGAATGAAATAGCCAGAAATTAAATTCGAGTTTGCATTAAATTGCCTGTCCCTTGTTGTCAACAATTTACTGTTCTCTGTTCAAATTGAAAACACGTTTTCATATCGTCATTCGAAAGCCCATTTTAATTGCTCTCTCTCTCTGAAAATCATTTGAAAACCCATTTTCATTGCTCTCTCTCTCTCTCTCTCTCTCTCTCTCTCTACTACTACTACGTAACTACTACTTACTACTACT